GGTCTACCATAATTGATCCTGCAGATTAACCCATTGATTGATCCCAAGTGCGGATGGATGCAGGCTGGGTGCAGGTGAAAAGAGGTGTGAGGGATCCCATCTGGATTCTGTCTGGCGGAACCAACTGCATGCAGCCGTGCTCCACTGGGAGTGGGAGTGGGGGTGGGAGTACTAGCCAGTAGGAGCTGCCGAACCAGACGGTGTAGCCGACGGCGACCCCACCGTCGGCGTCGACTCCGCTCCGCCGTGCCGCTGTCGGCATCTTGGTTCCTGCACCATGCATCCTGGTCGCGGCAGCTTGGTTGTCTTCATCCGTTCATGCCGTGATGGCCAGGATCGCATCAGATGCAGGTTAATTAAGGTAGCTCAGTCCTTTTCACCCACTGACAGATTGATTGATTATTTACCACAGTTGGCCGTGTTATGGAGCTACACGTAGCTGGTCGATACATCGGATCTGACGGGGCCAAAAATATCCGGTCGGACGGGTTTAACAACAAGAGGTTAGGGGCGCCGTCCCTGTCAGCACGTCACAAGTACAAGGAACAAAATGTTTCTAATTCTACCGTGCTGTATCGATCATCTGCTGGACGGCTTTCAAGTTTGAATTCGCAAACAAGGAAAGGGCTGATTTTTCAGAGAAACCTTCTCCACTTTAGTAGATCTTTTCTTTTCTACAGCCAGCTCCGAATTCGTATTATTCAAATCATCTTGCAGCCTAGATATTTTCCCTGGTTGGGCTGGGAATTGGGACGGCTTCTTCGTCCGGTCATGATCGATTCATCATCTTTCTTCATTCCTTTCTTCCTGGACGGACCCTCTCTCTCTTTTCTCTGCTTTTACTTAGTGATGCATTCATATTCTAATAATATCCAGATGTAAGGATTTTATTCGCATCTATCTGCTTTTGGACCTTTTGAGCTTTCAGGTATCTGTTGGCATTGGTGCTCTGTATGTCATCAGCAGTGCCCTTTAGCCTAAGCAACAGTTCATCCCGAAAGCAACACCACCATTAATTGTACTATATATTCACATCAATTCAAAGTGGAAAAGAGAGCTCTCTTTCAAAAATATTACTCCCTCCGTTCCTAAATATTTTTCTTTCTAGAGATTTCAACAAGTGACTACATATGACACAAAATGAGTGAATCTACACTCTAAAATATGTCTACGTACATCAATTGTTGTAGTCCATTTAAAATGTCTAGAAAGACAAATATTTGGGAACCGAGGGAGTATATGACTTGAGAGTGTCTCTAACCATGATGGCTCTTGTCGAAGCTCATGCACTGTGGACCCCCAATGAACTCAGTGCACTATTTGGGATCGTCCTGTGTGCATTCTACAAGTCGACAAGGAGAAGAACGTCAAGCTAAAATGTGATGGAAGGCCAAATATAAATATGTAGGAAGAATATCAAGTAATAAATAAAATAAGTGGAACTTAGATGAATAGATTTTTATTGTCATTCGATTTCTCTTCAAATGTATGACTTATCGCACGAATAGTTAGTCCAAGCATGAATTGAATTCCCTTCACTAATCGATAGAACTTAAAGCCTTGAGAAATATTATTCAACAATTTATAATGTAAAGTGGAATCAGAAGCAAGAGAGCAATGGGTCCGGTCTGGAACTCCACCGCAGACTACACCCACTAATCTTTTGAGTTCAAGATGGCATGTTTGATGGTCCTCATGTCAAATTTTATGGATTATGTATGATTCACCTTCCCTAGTTTTTGTCAAGATGTCGGAGTATTTTTGTATTGATTGGCTAAGTTATCGAACTATTTGTGTATCAACTATGACTTATCTTATCTGACATGTTAGGATGTACTCCCTCCGTTCGGAATTACTTGTTCAAAAAATGAATGTATCTAGATGTATTTTAGTTATAGATACATCCTTTTTGTGACAAGTAATTCCGAATGGAGGAAGTATATATCTTCGAAGATATCATTGTTTTTACAACTAAAAGCAAATTCCGCGTGTCAAGGGTCTGCACCCACTAATCTTTTGAGTTTAAGATGGCATAATTGGTTGTCGTCTTGTCGAATGTTCTGGATCACGTATGATTCACCTTCCCTAGTTTTTGTCAAGATATCGGGGATTATGACTTCTCTTATATGACATGTTAGGATGTACTCCCTCCGTCCGAAAATACTTGTCATCAAAATGGATAAAAAAAAAGATGTATCTACGTCTAGATACATCATTTCCGGACGTAGGGAGTACTATATATTCGAAGATACATTCTTCTTACAAGTAAAAGCAAATTCTGCCTGGTTTGCTCTCTTTATGCGTATGGCATTCTAGGAGCTTGCGTTGCATCAAAATGCTCTCTGTTTGCCAAAATCCTTATCTGCAAATGCAACTCCCTAGAAACCAGAATTCTGTTGTGTCTACAAATTTTAGTAGTTTCATAGCATCAGTTGTGCAGTCTCCAGGAGACTCATCCTTCCTTTTTTTTTGAAACAAAAAACACGTTCTTTCTAATACTTCCTTCCTGGAGGCTGGTCTCCACTTCTTCTGCTGGTTAATTATTTTTTAAGATATCTTCTGTCAAATGAAACAAGTTTGTTAATTAAGTATATGGTTTTGCTATTTCGTATCTGGCAGGAAAATTAGTATGATGCTAATAAGAACCATCCGATCTAATTGTTGAGATCTTTGCGAGTACAAGGGTCTGAGATAGGCTCAAAAAGCAGGGGCTACCTAATTAAGATAGGCCAATTTGTGGATCCCATCATGGGCTCCTCGATCACATCGTAGAGATGAAGCACATGGAAGCTTAGCTTGGCTAGCATTGGGTTAGAACTTTCACTTGGGTAAAGGGAACAGAAAGTGGCTGTCATGATGGTCATGTCACATGCATTGTCACGCACCATGCCCATGTCCATGCTGAGATCCAATCCTGATAGTAAAATAAACACTCCGGATTTGTCTGTTTCTTGGGTCCTTGGGGTGTTAAGCTGGCTCGAGATTGGCTGGCTAATCAAGCAAGCATTTGAGTACTATTACCTTGCTTAGTTCCCAGGTTAAACTAAGTACAGTTGTTGTGGTGCCCGTGACATGGTATTATGGTATCATCTGATGGTTGGTATCACAGGATATTTTTTCCATATTTTTTGAAACATAAAAATTTGAGTCATGTCTGCTTTTGTCTTTTTGTGGCACTATTCATGCTGAATCTGTCTTTTTTACTTTTCAATGTGTATTTCGAATTTAAATTAGAACTTTTTTAGGGCTAGTATATATACATATGTCGTGTGAACATTCACGATTTGTCTTGGAATTATTTGAAACTTGTACGTCTGATTTTTGTGACATGGTATCATGTGATGGTTGGTATCACATGGTATTTTCCCATGCCCCCACGTCCCAGCTTTTTCTAACCTGCCCGGATTAATTAATTACCCTTGCAAACTAAACCATTGGTTGATCCCAAGTGCAGGTCGATGCAGGCTCTGGGTCCAGGTGAAAAAAGAAGTGAAGGATCCCATCTGGATTCTGTGTGGAGGAACCAAGTGCAGACCTCCTGTTGGACAGGCAGATGGATTGGCTAGCTAGCTCAGCTCTGCTGGTACTAGCCAGTAGCCAGGAAGAGCTGGCCGAAGCTGACGGTGCAGCCGACGGCGACCCCACCGTCCACTTCGCCGTGCCGCTGTCGGCATCGCATCTTGGTTCCTGTCCTGCACCACCATGCATCTTGGTCGCACAAGCTTGATTGTCTTCATCCGTTCATGCCGTGATGGCCAGGATCACATCACATGCAGGTTAATTAAGGTAGCTCAGTCCTTTTCGCCCACTGACAGATTAATAGCTTACTACTACAGCTTAGCTAGTGGATACATACATCGGATCTGAGATCTGACGGGGCCAAAAATATCCGGCCTGACTGACGGGTTTAACAATAATAAGAGGTTATGTTAGGGGCGCCGTCCCTGTCAGCAGTCAGCACGGCGCAAGCACAAAGAATAAAATGCTTGTAATTACCGTGCTGTATATATCATCGGCCGGACGACTTTGAATTAATTGGCAAACAAGGCAAGGGCTGATTTTTCAGAGCAACCGTCTCCACAAGATGTTTATCTTCTGCCGGCTCGGAATTTGTATTCAAATCATCTTCCACCCTAGCTAGATATTTTCCTTGGTTGGGTTGGGAATTGGAACGGCTTGCTGAGCCGGTCATGATCAGGTTGATCATCTTCCTCCCTTCCTTTCTTCCTGGACGGACGCTCTCTCTTCTCTGCTTTTAGCTAGTGATGATGATGATGATGATGCATATTCCAATAATATCCAGATGTAAGGATTTCATTCGCATCTATCTATCTGCTTTTGGGCCTTTTGAGCTTTCAGGTATCTGTTGGCATTAGTGCTCTGTCATCAGCAGTGCCCTTTAGCCTAAGCAACAGTTCATCCCGAAAGCAACACCGCAATTAATGGTACTATATAAACTCATCAATTCAAAGTGGAAAGTGGAGCTTTCTTCACCAAAATTTTCTAGTACTCCTGCTAATTATCTCTCTCAAGAAAGTTCATTTTTCCTACTAGTGCATGTACATGCATGTAGATGTACATCAGACAGCAAAGCAGTGCATGCACCTAGGCTAGATAACACAAGAGAACAGTGCACTTTACACTTGTGGTGTAGATCCATGCACGAGGATGCTGCATCAGACAGAGAGAGGTTAAGAGAGGGAGCAGGTCCCCCTCAGCTTCATTCCAAGCAGTGCAAGGCACTATTATACTTGTAGACTAGTGTATGTGTATGTGATTGATTAGTAGTAGGAGTAGGATAACTTGGCCAGCCGCGCACCCAACGCACCTGCTCCCTCCCTCTTCCCTCCCCACTCATCTTCATCATCAGCGGCAGCAACCCCCACGTCCACACACCCCCCACCCCCACGCACATCATCTTCTTCCTCTGTTCTCCTCCCAGATAGCACCGCATCAGGAGGAAGGAGGGAGCTCGGTCGAGAGAGAGAGAGAGATCAGGCATGGAGAAGTACGAGCCGGTCCGGGAGATCGGGTCGGGCAACTTCGGGGTGGCCAAGCTGATGCGCAACCGGGACACCCGCGAGCTCGTCGCCATGAAGTTCATCGAGCGAGGATACAGGGTACGTACGGCTTGCTCGATCGATTCACCTGTCTATACATCTTGCTTCGGTTCATTCATTCATGGCCTTGCCCTGACCTTGCGTGGATTGGTCTGCAAAAATGGAAGATCGACGAGAACGTGTTCCGGGAGATCGTGAACCACCGGTCGCTGCGGCACCCCAACATCATCCGCTTCAAGGAGGTGGTGCTCACGCCCACGCACCTCGGCATCGTCATGGAGTACGCCGCCGGCGGCGAGCTCTTCGAGCGCATCTGCGACGCCGGCCGCTTCCACGAGGACGAGGCGCGCTACTTCTTCCAGCAGCTCGTCTGCGGCGTCAGCTTCTGCCACGCCATGCAGATCTGCCACCGCGACCTCAAGCTCGAGAACACCCTCCTCGACGGCAGCCCCGCGCCGCGCCTCAAGATCTGCGACTTCGGTTACTCAAAGGTCCTCTTCTTCCTCCTCTGCTCTCGATTCATGCCATGGAATCAACCTGACTAAAATGAAAAATTGCTTTCCAGTCGTCGGTGCTGCACTCGCGGCCCAAGTCGACGGTGGGCACGCCGGCGTACATCGCGCCGGAGGTGCTGTCGCGGCGCGAGTACGACGGGAAGCACGCGGACGTGTGGTCGTGCGGGGTGACGCTCTACGTCATGCTCGTGGGCGGCTACCCGTTCGAGGACACCAAGGACCCCAAGAACTTCCGCAAGACCATCGCGCGGATCATGTCGGTGCAGTACAAGATCCCCGAGTACGTGCACGTCTCGCAGACCTGCCGCCACCTGCTCTCCCGCATCTTCGTCGCCGACCCGCGCAAGCGCATCACCATGGCCGAGATCAAGGCGCACCCCTGGTTCCTCAAGAACCTGCCGCGGGAGCTCAAGGAGGAGGCGCAGCAGGCCTACTACAACCGCCGCCACGCCGCCGACGTCGCCCCCTCCTCCAACGGCAGCTCCGCCGGCCCCGGTGCGGGCGCGACGGCCTCCTCCAATGGCGCCGCCGCAGTGCCCGCGCCCGCGCCGGCCTACTCGGCGCAGAGCGTGGAGGAGATCATGAAGATCGTGCAGGAGGCGCAGACGGTGCCCAAGCCGGACAAGCCGGTGACCGGGTACGGGTGGGGCACCGGCGACGGCGAGGCGTCCGACGAGGAGGACGGCAACCAGGAGGGGGAGGAGGAGGAGGAGTACGGCGAGGACGAGTATGACCGGACGGTGCGGGAGGTGCACGCCAGCGGGGACTTCGGCATGAGCAAGCTCCAAATCTGACGTCGATCTCTTCTCACCACATGGCGCCGCCGGCCATTGCTCCTCCACGTCGTCTCTAGTCCACTCTGGTTAATTATCTGTTATAAGATTGATTGAATTTTTCTTTTTGCCAATTGTAACAAATTAGCTAATTAACACTAAGTTTTTTGTTCAAACCCCTTTTTGTCGTGGAAATGTGGAATGGGTGCTTGCTTGCAGTTCCTCTCAGTGAATCTCAGCACTGGGTGCGGTAGTCCAGAATTTGTGAAAATTCACACTACATGCGTATAATTTGGTCTAAACATCATCGTAATCTAAACAAATAGTCCCTCTATCCGAAAAAGTTTGTCCCAAGCTTCTCTTTCAAATGGATGTATCTGACACTAACTTGATGCTAGATACATCCATTTGAGGGACAAATTTTTTCGGACAGAGGGAGAAGTATTTAGCATCAAGTAAGTAGTATAATTTATTTTCTAATAATGGAGAACAAATAAATTGGCGGCCGTGAATGCCATATTAGTCAATGGTCTGACCCAATATATAAGCAGACATATCTGACCATTGAAACACCAGGATAGCAGTATGCCAACGATTCGGTAACAAGTTCCACGTAGGGGAGCGGCGACAACACACGTCAGCGGTTCCTTCTGGCGGCGATAGTGGTCATGTGGTGGTCTCGGAATCTCGATGTATTTTTTATTAAATTTGAAATGGTTTGTACTTCCGGTGAACCTTTGTAATAGATCTGACGCTTTTCTCAAAAAGAAAGTTTCTTAGGCCATCTCCATTGGGGGTGCTACAAAAAACATTCCCGGTACTCCTGCTAGCATGGGTTTTATTTCCAATCCAAATTTGGCACCGGATGCTTAACTTTGTGCCATGGGCTAGTAATAGTAGTAGCGGGGCGAGTGATTGGGCCTGTGATCATAATTTGTGTCGGGCTTGGCGCATGTACGGAACCTATATGTGCTCTGCCTGTTGCCTGATAGGTGCGTCGACGATGAACTCCACTTTCCCCTTCCTTTTGCTTCTTCCTCTCTGAAGACTTCTCTTATTTGTATCCCTATGCTTTAGAGACCTCTGCAAAGGCATTTGAGGATACTAAGTATACACGTAAACATGCACAAATATATACACTGTAACTCATTCAATTAACCATCTAAAAAAGTTCATTAATTAAAACAAATTAATCAGGTTGATGTCCTGTTTGTGCTTTACGTTATCACATTTAACCTTTTGGTTTAAAGATTTCTTTAAAATTATAATGTATATAACTTTTGTTGCAAAATATTACTCAAATTGAGCACATCCAAATGTATGTTTAATGATTGTGATTTTATAGAAAAAGCACCATCATTAATATTTTCAACACTGGTGTGGACAATTATGCTGACTAAGTTATGTAATTATACAAGATAATATTTTAATTTGATAAAAATAAATTATAAATAAATATAAATTTTGTTATATGAACGGTAATTGGATCAACTTTAGGGCCTGTTCGGTAGTGTTGGGAAAATCAATTCACCCGGAGTTAAGTGAATTTTATTCGGTTTCTTTCTGATTAAAAAATAAATTGAACCTAGTGTTTCGAATTTGAATTGGTTTGTAAGAATAGAGTTGTTTATACAAGAGTCGGCAACACTGAAAGGAATAAATTTCATATTTTGTGAGTTCTCGAGACGTTTGTTTATAGTCATCTTCAATGGAGCAGGAGGTCGAGGTTACATTCTAAAATTACTTTTTCAGATGTTTACGGAAATTTTTATGAAAATCATGTGTGCCTTTTATTAAAATCTCGTTATAAATATTACAGAACATGTTTGATTGGAAAGTAGTTTAAGATTTTTTTTTTCAATGGTAAATAGATAGTCAAGTGAGTATGTGTTTTTCTATTTCTTAACTGGGTGAGAAATAACTATTTCTAAATTCATAAGAATAGACTTTTGATCTAATAATCAATATCCGGGTAAATATAAAGAGTTGAGAATATACCCATCGCATAATATGAATGTCGGACTAAGTATAGCTACTTGAAATCGACCAGAAAACAATACGTATGGCCCAATAGGAAGCTCCTCGTAAGCACATTATACTCTAGATTTTTTACTTCATTATACGAAATTACGCATTATATGATATTTCTTAGACCTGTGCTTTAGAGATCTCTACTGGGATATTCGAGGGTACTAAATGTACATGACCAAACACACAAATATATATACGATATAATTAATGCAAGTGCAAAAAAAATCTCACAAAGGCCTATGAATTGCACTTTTTAGTATTCTCAAATTTAAGTTTTTTGATTTAAATATTGTATTTAGTGATAATGTCTCAAAAGAAAATAAAATAAAATATAACCTTTGTTACAAAATATAACTTTCTATGGTTCATTGTGCTAACCAATTAATAAACATAAACCCAAAAATCCATTCAAGTGTCACAAACTAATGTCGCGGAGGCGGACAATTCTCTCTATCACTATCGCTATCACATTTATCTATTTAGGATAATGATAATTTTAAAAGACAATGTATTCAGAAGTATAAACTAAATATAACTTTGATTACAAAAAAGGCACAACCAAATTTCATTATTCGATGATACACATTGGAAATTTATAATAAAAACACTATACTTAATAATTTTTTCATGGTTAATTGTGCAAACTAAATATTACAAATATGAGTAAATTCCAGATTTTACCTCATAAATTTATATATTTCACACTAACTACCCTACTTAATGATTTTGCATCCAGATTACACTATTTAGAGAAAATTTAGCCATTTTTTAGCCCATTTCAAGTTTTTTTAGGTTGCGTATAGTTCTTCTAGAGGTTCTTTTGCCGGAAAAAACATCGTGGAACTGTGCCGAGTTATGATGCAACACTTCAAAGCAAATGTAGTGAAGAAGATTTGCTTCTAGAGTCTGTGAGACAATAGCCATAGTGATCAGCATGTATGTGAAAATTACTGAGTAGATTGTCATAGTTGCTCTGCTGAAGTAGTGATGTCTATTTTCATTCTCAATTTTCTCTTCACTATATTTGAATACCACTAACCAACAAGAATGCATTGGACTGTCTATTGGCAAATCTTGAAGCCTAATGCTTTTTAATGATGTTGATGCCACCTCCCATGTTGTTAGCTGATGTTACCTTTCTGGCCATTACTATTCATCATGATGATGAGTGATGTGTCAACCATAGAAAGTTATCTAAGTGAAGTTATCTGTTCGAACCTCTTTTTACTAGCAATATGGAATGTATGTCTTTACAGTTAATTAATATATTCAAAATGAATTGTTAGCCATGGAAAAGCTTCAGATTTGGTATTCAGAAAAAGTACCAATTTAAATATAAGAGCACACATTGGCTGCACAAAGCAGGGAAAATCATTGACTTGGTGAATCTTCGGTCTAGACTCCATTCTAGACCTTTGATATATTAATTAACCATATGCTTCAACGGTCAATGTTCATTGTGATGCATGTTATATCCAGCGGCATAATCAGAGCATGGCATACGAAATCTCATGTTCATCGCTTTCGTCAAATGACATGATGGGCAGGTGGCCCCTTTAGCACTTTCGTGTGCTCGGGACAAATAACCTTGTACAGTTATCAGTGGTTTTATTTTTCTTACAGTGAGCCAGCTAGTTTTTTTCATTTCATACAATTTTTATATTGAGAAAACTATAACATTTATTTCAACATAAAAAACCGAATCTACCAAAGTAAAAAAAATTATTGTATATTACTAATAAAAAATAAAACATTTATCAAAAATTTCGATATTCATAAATTTTAAAAATGATCACAAACATTAGAAAAGTTTTCATGAACTCAAAAAATGTTCATTAAGTGAAAAAAAAGTTACCAATTTTCAAAAGATGTTCATACTCTTGAATTTAAATACCTAAAAATATAAGAAAAATCCAAAAAAGAAATTGAGAAAAATTAAAGCAAAAAATGAGGAAAGGGACATATTTGAAAAATAAAAGTGAAAAAACAAAAAAAATGAAAAATATGCTAGTTGGTCTGCTTAGTTACCTGGGTAAGCGGTCGTTTTTTTCTGTCACCTCTTTTCTCTATCATTGAACGGCCTCTTCTTTCTATGTTTCTTTTGGCGGTTTTTAATGTTTGTTTATGTTTTTGTTTTTGCTTTTCTTTTTTGTTTCTTTATTCTTTGTTTTTCTGTGATAGGTTTCAGTGGTTTTTATTTTGGTTTCCCATTTTATATGTTTCTTTACCAGTTTCTTTTTTGCCTTTTTTCCAACTTTTTATTTTAATAAATGCATGTCTACATTTATGTACACATTGTAGATTTTTGGTACAAATTAGGAATATTTATATACATGTTTGAATTTTTTTCAAATACATGATGATTTTTTTTTCAAATACATATTTTGATGTCTACTCTTCTTCGTAACTTTATAGATTTTTGTATACATTTGGAAACAGATATACATGCTTAAAATTATTAAATTAAAGATTAACATTATTTAAACATATGTTATTATGAATCGTTTTTCATACACATTGTACATAGTTATATACATAAGAAACATTTGTTCTAGAAGTTTAGCAGGTTTTGAACATATGATCATTTTTTCAGAAAAACATGTTGTTGAACTTTTTTTGAATACGTGTTAAACACTTATGAAATACATGTTGAAACATTTTAATGAATGATACAAAATAGTTTCTAAACTTCCCTAATATTTTTCTGAATTGTAACATGTTTTAAAAAATGTCAAGAACATTTTTCAAATGGAAAAATACATTGTTTCTAATAGTGCGAGTTTTTTTTGAATTACATTGCACATGATATTACATATTATAATTTTTCTTTAAATGTCACGTGCATTTTTGAAATGCACAAACATTTTTTAATGCCATAGACATTTTGTTTTAATTGTTTTCAACATCTTTCAAAAATTGCGCTAACATTTTTCTATACACTCTAAACATTTTTCCAGTTTGGGATTCTAACCTTTTTGAAGTTAATTGAA